CCGCAGGAGACTACTCTTTTACAAGGTGTCTGCGGTGTGACCAATTAGCAAAAATAAACAAATGTCCCGGGGAGAGGGGAGTTCTTCCGCGGTCGCCTCGGACGACTTCGTCCTAGGGATGACCTTCTTGACGGACGAATTACGCAGTTCATTATCCGGGGTCTATTCCTCGGACATTGGGGTGAGAACGGGAGAAATAACGGAAATAATGATGAAAGAAATATAAAAATTCTCATACGATAGTCAGATTTTCACAGTATCATGAAAGGAAAAGTTTATTGAAAAACATTAAAAAATCATTTATATTATTTGAATTATCTTGTAGTTGACATATGTGAAAGAAAAGTTACTTCACACACCATCTACAAGATAATTTTTTTTTCTTTGTTAAACATTAAATAAATATTACTACAAATTATACTTAAAAATATAAAAATTTAAAACAGCAAATAAGCATTGCATAATCAAAATGGCATCCAGGACATATAGTAGAACCTCGTTTTAACAGATTGCTTGGGCTGCCAAAAATTGTCCTTGTTCTGAGAATCCATTATATCATGAACAACAAATTTCTTACATACCCAGGAAAATATCCATTATTTGAAAAAATTTTTGTTTTAATCACCTACATATAAGAAATGCTAATACTGATATTAATTTCGTGTAGTGTACAGTCTGTTCTTTTATGCTGAAACTCGAAAGGAAGGTTTTCACAACTTGGAAGACTCAATGGCCTTGATAAATTTCATCACTACACTTGGACTAGCATCAGAATGTTCACTAGGTGGCTCCTCAATTGTATTAGCCTACTGACTCTCATTGTACTATTCTTCAATTCTACTGTACAGTACTTATCCCAGATGTAATAAGTGCTTGCTGATGCACTTATCAGCAAGCAGGCTTAAATTTTATCATGGCATGCATGCACCTATTCAATAATACCCATGCACCTAGCATCTACTCAGAGCATGCATGCACCTACAGTCAATAATACTTCAGATGGGAGAGGACAGGTATCATCATGTGGAGTAAAAAAAGTGAGGCATATATTTCAGTGCTCTGTATATATTTCTTTAATTTGAAATCCAAGAAAAATCTCCTTTTTTATTTTTGCTGGTTAAAGATGATGAAAGTTGTTTGAAAGATATATAAATCATCATCCATTTCTATCCAAGGCCTTTACAAATTATTTAATAAGGCCTAATCTACGTCAAGATCTGGAAGAAGCACATCACAAGCTACCAGACTTCTTTTTTCCTCTCATTTTCCAATTTTGTTAAGGCCATTTGTGTTTGGTATAGAGATTCTTTAGTCATCACTATCCTAAATTCAGTAATGTTTGTACTTGGTTGGAGAAGATTATTTTTAAATAATTTTTGCTTACTTGATCCGAAGTTGCAGACTAAATCATTTAAATCCATTTTCTGTTATTAATATAAAAATATTATATAGACTAAGATATTTTTTATTTGATCAATAACACTGTTCTACAGAGGATTTTTTTTTCTTAAGTGAAAATAAATGTTTTTGAAGCATTTTCTTATGAGAAATTCAAATCTCAGAATTTTGCTATCAAGCACAGTTTTTTAGTTGCAAGTATATTAAAGCCTCATTTTACTCAAATTCACAGTTTGTGACAAACACAAGAACTTTTTGTAGAGTAATTGACAATAACTTTTGAGCCTCTGTTTCAGATGCTGACAAATTGTATTATTAGGCTACATAATCTTGATTTACCATTCCACTACCTTTGAGAACAATAAATGAAATTGACAGCAAGAGTGAAGAAAATAGCAATGTGGAATTGCCATCTTCTAAAAAAACTTGTATATCAGGACACAAGTGATCTAGTCAGATACCTTTTGACTAGATTGCATGGAGAATAAGCAGTAGTGGTTTAACATAAAATCTGTTTTCATTCAGTAGAAGTTAATGCATTTATTATGTTAAAAGCATTGGTCACAATGCCTGAAACATAACTTGCTTGCAAACATGACATCTGCAATCAAGATGGCGACTGGAACTACCGCTGTTGGGGTTCCATATGTAAATATCTCACAAAGAGTTGCGTATAGAGATATTGTTCTTTTGACTTTTTTGCTCCTTTGGGTATGCTCTATAGCTCTGTTAAGGTCCCAACAGTGTCATTCACATCTTAAATCTTACCCAAATGAGCGATATTTAAAATTCCTAAAAGAAAGTCAGTTGTTGTGCAATACATTCGTGTCAAGGGACCATTGGAAAGCTTATTACTTTCCAATATATGTAAGCTACCTTAAAACTTGGACCCCTCACTCTTTCCTGCTAATTTCATCTTCCCTACAAATTCCTAAACCCTTTGACCGATTTGAATTAAATTCCACATAGTCACACTCTGGTACTTTATGGAAAACATGGACTACCATTAAACGTGGGCACTTCTCTCTGATCTCTTCCCTACTCCCAAACCTTTTGAGCAATCTGGACAAATTTTGCATAGTCTGTCTCTACAATTGTGAAAAAAATATAAGCCTCTTTCAAACTCTGATCCTCATGCCTTTCCCTGATTTAATCCCCAAATTGCCAAACTCTTTGACTGAGTTACACAAAATTTTACATAGTTACTCCCCGCCACCCCACAGAAAACATATGCTACTCTATAACAAAGACAACTCAATCCCCTCCCTCAGTTCCCAGGCAGTGATAGGCATTCTTTGATAGTTTCCTATAAACCATTCAATAATTCAATTCTATTTTTGTAGTAATGTCTATAATCAATTTATTTAGAATGTTATATCCAGACACTACAAATTAACAACAAATTAAGTCTTGTAAAGAACTATACAAAACAAGTATAGGTCTCTCAAATGTTTGATATAAGGTGATTTAAAAAAATGGATTTTATGGATTTAATATAAGTGTGTCAAGCTTGTTTAAAAAATACAATAAAATTAGAACAGATTAGATAATCAATATTGTCATCGGGTAGAAATTTTATAGTTTAAATGTAATTTGATAACAGAACATTAATTGTTGATTTTAGCTTGAAAAACGTGCATACTGTGAATACTTATGTAAAACATTAATATTCATCAATAAATAAATTATTATTATTATTATTTTGCAATTATATGTGCATTTGTTTACATGAAATTTGTTTAATTTTTCCAGCAGGTCACGTTCAAGATCCAGATCAAAATCCAGAAGTCGTTCACAATCAAGAAGCAGGAGTGGAAGCAGAAGTCGGAGCAAGAGTAGAAGTAAGTCTCGTTCAAGATCTCCATCCGCTTCAAGATCCAGATCAAAATCTAGATCCAAGTCTAGATCAAAATCGCCATCCAAATCACGTTCCCGTTCAAGATCTAAGACTCCTGAAAATCAAAGTAAATCTAGATCAAAGAGTAGAAGTCCAAGCAGAGAAAAATCTAAATCGAAGAGTAAATCTCCTTCAAATTCTCCTGCAAATTCACCTTCAAAATCGCCCGTTCCCGAAGAAAAATCTGTCGAAGAAGAAATGGACGACAAGGACTGAAGTGATCTTTGTGTACCGAGAATTCATTTCTACATCATAGATTAGTGGTGTATCTGCTCATAGCAGGTATATAAAATTCAGTTAATCCTGCAAATGACAAATATTAGTCATACTGGTCCATGATCTTGTATTTTGAAAAATGAAAAATTTATTCAGTGTGAAATGATATTCATCAAATGCTGTAAATGTTCAATTAAATACATTTTATAATAATAGACTAACGTTTGCTCACGTTTCGTTTATGTAAATGAAAACTGTTGAATCATGTTAAGCACTCAGAAAAATCTATTGTCTAATTATTGAGGAAGTTTTAGTGACGCCTCTAATATGTGGCTTACAGAATTGCGTTCGTTCTCAACATTTGATCGATCGAAATTGATAAAAGCTTCGCTATTTTCTGTTAATTGCAATGAAGAATCCAAAAATGTAATAAGAAATCGGGGTACATGAGTTCGTTTTCGAAATACAGTGAGGGTCAAATTGACGCGATTTAGGAGCGAAAATAAAACCGTTAATTTTCCACGCCCATTTTCCATTCGGGACGCGCAATACGTCCCGAATGGAAAATGGGGGTGGAAAACTAACAAAGCAATCGAATTGATCTCGTATTCCTCAGTTCTGTCACATAGTCGCGTGATGTCCTAGTATAGTGATACATTAGCACTAGAATAATTCGAACAAGTGTTCGGGGAAAAAGTTGCTGGGCACTCGACTGAACGGAACAAACGGCCTGCTAGACCAATTTTTCGATTAATACGCACGTTCGTATTTCTAGTGTTTTAATTTGCATGAATTGCGCGATATTTTCAAATTTAATCAATAGTTAAGGTAAAAGTTTTAAATTTTTATTTATTAGTGTTATGCGCGAAATATTTTTCTACGTAAGCAAGTATTGTGTCGTGATACACCAAAGAATACATCTGTGATTGAATGTTTTAGAATTAATATTTTTGAAATTAAATATTAAAATATAAAATTTGTATGGGCTAACAAATATATTTCAAATATAGAATTTAATATTTGCTGAAACGTCACAATTATTATCAATAATACACGTGTGGTAATTGTTTAGGAAGAGTTGAATTTGTTTCTTTGATTTTTTATTACAAAGATTCGCGCGGATGAAAGAAAATAACGAATGTAAAACCTTGAAATAGCCAAACGAGTAGGAGAAAAGTGGAATTGTTTAAAGCCGTGGTTCTTAACCTGTGGTGCGCGAAGTTATCCCAAAATTATTAAATGACGACGAGTTGATGACAATGCGCACTGCATCAAGGTTAGAGCCGATAGCGGACTGGGCTGGGGTATGGTGCGCGGTCAGAAAATATGAAATTGGAAGGCACTAGCAATAAATTTGCAGTTGAAGATAAAATCAGCGCGTTTATCGTTAAAATCGACCTATGGATCACAAAGTCGAAAAAGAGAATTTTTCTGCGTTTGATGCATTGAACTCAATTATTGATTGACAGTGTGCTGAGATTAAGGGACAAATACAAAAGAACGTTACATTCCATTTGCAAAGCTTGAAAAATGAATTCAATCGCTATTTTCCTGACTGCAAGGACAAAGGTATTCGGAAACTGATTTGCAATCCTTTCATAGTCAACATTTCTGAGGTGCTGGATGAAATACAAGAAGAGTTAATTGAAATGCAACATGATAGTAACTTCAAGGATACATTCGAGACAGGAATTAATCTTAAAGATTTTTGGAGCCAAAAAGCTATTGCTTTCCCTAAAATTCGAGAAATTGCTTTACAGTACCTAACTTTATTTTCAACCACATATTTATGCGAGCAAGGATTCTCAGTGCTTTTGATAATTAAAAATAAACATCGAAATCGGTTGGATGCCAGTGCCGACATGCATTTGCTTTGAGTAGCACTGAACCAAGAATTCAACAGTTGGTAAAGAGTATGCAGTTACAAAAATCGCACTATAATAATATAATTAATTAATGTAACACTTTCGCAAATAATATAATACTCTTAGTTCCGAATAATTTTCTACGTGTTTAATTTATAGAACAACCTTATAAGAACCTATATTACTGCCAAACAGCTCGTGGTCCATGGCAAGACAAAAATTTTGATAAATGGTCCCTCATCACTAAAAGGTTAAGAACCACTGGTTTAAAGGAAGAAGAAAAGGCAAAATATACATAAAAATGGCCGAAGAAGAACGTTATCGTAGAGAGAAGAATGAATTGGCACATTTGAAAGAGGATAGAAAATGACCAAGAAGAAAATTTACAGTGGAATTTAAGAAAAGTAAAAAGGAAGAAAATCAAGAGGAGAGTGACGAATTATCGGATAAACACTCGAATTCGATTAATTAATGTTTGGCTGTTGTTTGCCCGGGCGGAGGAAAATTTCGGCCCCCCTTATTTAGGTATTTCAATTTAAAAGACCAAAATTCAGTTTTGTCACAGAGCAAGCAATGAAAAATTCGGTGGTAGTGCAGCGACCTGTTTAAAATAGTTCTATTGGATATTAGTGGTGTATATGAACGCGAATGAATCGTACAAGCAAAAAAAGGTCAACAGGTTTCGCAGGATTTCCTTGGATAAAAACGTTACTAGTTCACCCGGCGAGCCGATTCCCAGATTGTCCGGGCGATAGCACTGTCGTAGACGCGATGCAAGTGTAGATTAGGATGTTTCAAATTTTTACAAGATATTATTTATTGTGAAATTTTTCCGCCCGGGGCGGGCCGCCCCTTCCGCCCCCACTACGGTACGCCACTACTTAGAAGTAGCATAATGGATGAAAATTTATAATTATGTATTCAATTAAAAATAAGTAGCTATTTGCCAAATATAGTAAAACTATCAAAAGCGATGCATGGACACCGTTCTAATTAAATTTTTAAATAAAACATATTGAACTTTTTTCCCTAAAAATCCATATCCTTTACATATGTATATTACGTATATGCGGCTCTCTGGTACTTTTGTTATCCTGTTTCCATGACAATTTGGCTCATCTCATTTGGCAAACTGCCGACCCCTGGTCTAGAGGGTTTTGCCACGTGTTAATTAAGCAACAAAGAATTCTATACAAGCCAGACTTCTAGCTCTCTTTGGACTTTGATTTTCATTCGATTAATCACAATAATTTTATATATTTCCAAGTTTTAAACTCATTAGTATCACTTCATTAAGTAATTTATAACAGCATTTGCAGCTAATATTGGTCAGTTATTTTCAGAGGTAAGAAATCTAGCTCAATTTTTTTCCAAATTAACTTTTTGTTTTACATATTAGGTTAAACATGAGTGATAACGAAATGCCACCTGATACACCAGCAAAAAAAGGCCTGGTATATACCAAAATTTCAAGAAAATTAGCTTCGAAATCCCGTTTAGAGACTGGCTACGACGTGACAAAACAGACAAAAACTCGAGCTTTTGTATTTGTTGTAAAACAGTGCTGAAAAATGCTAACAAGTCAATGATTGAAACACGTATGAAAAGACCTAAGCATAGGAAAGCTTTTGAAGCTTCCAGAGAGAAAACAGTTAAAACAATTGATGCTATCTTCAAAAAAAAAAAATGAAACTCTCAGCTAATGAAGAAACTGCGAAGGCAGAATTGCTGAGCATAACGTGCCTTTTATCAATGCAGATCATCTCACAGATGTTTGCAGGAAGTCCTTTCCAGATAGCCAAATTGCAACATCTATTCAGATGAAGCATACCAAGTTGTCATATTTAATGCAGGATGGCATTGCTTATTATGAAAAACTGAAAATTGAAGACGTGCAAGAAACAAAAATTTTCAATGTAATTGACGAGAGCACCGATATTTCATTCTCACAAACTTTATCGCTGTTTGTTTCTTTCATCATAAAAGAAATGATGTAAAAGATGTTCTTTTCGACATAGTATTGGTGGAAAATGGAACAGCTCAGGGTCTGCAAAACGCTATCAAATCAATTTTTGAAAAAACAAAGGTACCGTTACAAAATATGATCGGGTTTGCCAGTGATAACTGCGTTGCAATGGTGGGTCACAAAACTGGACTTCTTACATTATTGAAGCAAGATTTTCCATCAATTTTTGCTATTGGTTGCATTTGCCATTCTTTTGCCCTTTGCAGCAGTCATGCTGTGAAAACATTTCCTTCGTATCTCGAATCATTTCTAAAATATATTACATCATATTTTGCTCGCAGCAGCAAAAGGCAAAATGATTAAAGAGGTTGTCAACACAAGTCAACATAAAATACTAAAATTATTACAAACAAGATGACTTTCTCGTGAAAATGTTATCAACATTATTTTAGAACAGTGGGATGCTTTAAAACTTTATTTTCAATCAGAGATGCGAACAGTTAAAATCGATGGTTACAGAGGTATATATGATACGCTAGTAAACAAAGGAACAAAACATACATTAGTTTTTCTATAGTATGTGTTACACAAAGTGAGTGTTCTAAAAACTGAATTTCAATCAGAATATTTTCACCTACATGTTTTATATTCCATGATTTCAGCAGAGTATCGTAATATTTTAAGTATGTTTATTAAGGAAGAAACTTTGCTAACTACAAATTTGTCTGAAACTGACCCAGGCGATGTAAGAAATCACCAAGACGTGAAAAAAATATTTCTTGGTGGAAAAACAATGTCCCTCTTAGAAACTGAGCCTCTGTCAACCATTAGTGCCATGCGATTTAAAGAGGACTGCTCAAAATTTCTTGTTGAACTTTGCAAGCAAATTAAGATGAGATTTTCCTTCGATCCAAATGGCGTTATTGCCAAACTCCAAGTGCTAGATCCATTAGTAGCGCATGATCTAAGCCGAACACCAAGATCTCTTGCAAGTTTGGTAGTTCATTTCCCAACATTAATTGCGGAAAACGAACTTAACCAGTTAGATGACGAATGGCGATCATTTCGTTTAGCAAAAGATTTGATCATACAATATAATAGTACAGTAGACCTCCTATAACGCTTAGATACGTTCCAGGTTAATCGAATTTTACGTTGTAGGAATCATTAAATACATGAGCCAATCGCAGCCCGACAGGTGTGAAGTTTACGGACTACGGCTGTTTGAAAGGTTTTCTTCTATAAAATTAACCGATTCTAGACTAATTCCACTCAACATTTCCAAAACACGTATAATTTTTTTGGGAATAATCTGTATAAACTATGCTATAAACAAAAAATTGTAGGATTACTTACCGAGTGTGCACCGTTCGACTACGTCGTT